AGATATACACTGAGAATCTGATTGGTTCTCGGGTCCCCTGGGCCCTTGACCTCACTTCTGCTTCCTAATGTGTGGTACACCTGAGAACACACAGTTCACAAGCTGCTAGGTGGAGCTCAGATGAGATCCTGGCCCTCAGGCGCACAGGACAGACTTAGATGTCCAATTCTCAGCTCTGGATCTTTGCCCTGCTGCCCAGCCTGTCTCATTCCAGGCCTGAGGAAGCAGTTCACCTCATCACCTCAAGGGGAAGCTCCAAGGTTTCCAGATAGAAAATTGTTGGAAGGTGGAACCGACCAGGCCAGCCTTTTCCTGTCCCCAGCTGCAGCTGCTCCCATGGTGAAAGGGTCTTAGGAAAGGAGTGGTGGCCACTTGCTCTGCCTGTGGGCACCTGCTCTGGGCTCAAGAACCTTACAGAAGCCACCTTGTTTCCAGGGCCAGATGTTACACATGTAAATCTCTGACATGGGTAACAAGTAGCCTCAAGTTGTCCCTTTAATGTCCTCTAGCCTCAGTCTCCTCACCTGACAGGGAAGATTCAAAATTAAAGCACAGGTGCCAACCAGGGAGAAGAAGGGAGGAGGGATGGGGAGGTGGGGGATGGGAGGTGGGGGATGGACTGGGAATCCCAATAAGGTACAAAAATACAACAAAAACTCCAAACTCGTTATTCTGAGTAGGCAAACCATCACACACATGTAACCTCAGCACTCAGGAGGTGGAAAAAGGAGGATCAGGAGTTCAAGGCCACCCTCAGCTTCATAGTAAGATCCTGGATAACCTGATAAATTTAACATCTGCCTTTATATCTCAATTGCCAGGGTTACTGTGACAACTATGACAATCTGGGACCTTAGACAGTAACACATTATTTCTGATGGTTTTGGAGCCTGGGAGACCAAGCTCCAAGAGTCAGTGAGTTTGCTCTGAGGATTCCATCTATGGGTCGCAGATAGCCACGGCTCACTGTGTTCTCTGTCCATGCACCTCCCAGGCCGGTCTCAAACTTGCTATGTAGCCGAGGATGCTATGTAGCTTTGAGTCCTCACCCTCCACCTCTGAGTGCTGGGATTGCAGCTGCGCCTGCACATGCAGCTGCTTGCAGGTGCAGGAGATCAACCCAGAGCAGGCACTGTACTTACCAAGTCACACCCCAAGTCATCCTTTTCAGAAGAGACCCTCATGCATGAATAAAGGCTCAGCACAGCTTGGGAGAGAGGATGGACTCTGGGGGGAGGTAGGGTGCAGCCCCTGGGACACCAGCAGCTCCATCTCTGGTCTGGCGCTCAGCTTCCCTGTTCGGGTAAATTCTGACTTCACTATTGCTTCCTAACATAGGGCACAACTGAGAACACAACAGCTGTCGGACCTGGACCATTCTCCCTTATTTATCTGTGTAAAACTGAGCCTCAGTACATTCACATTGCAGGTTCCGCTTTAGCCTCTGGGTTGTGGGGAGAGGGGATACAGCTGGGTGTTCCCCATTTGGATTTAAGATATATATATATATATATATATATATATATATATATATATTAATATATATATTAAGCAAACAGAGCTTTCAGAAAAGCAGAGGGAGAAGCCCGTCTGACAGGAGGGTTGGGTGGTATGGGAACAGGGCTGCAGAGAATGCAGTGAGTTCTAAGAGGACCCTAATTGTCAGCAAAGCCCAAAGAAGGGGCAGCTCTACCGGGCTCCCTGACAAGTGAAGCATCCTCTGTGCCACCCGGTCCCTCTCCTGTAGTCATCCCTGCAAGAATGAAGCCTGGATCCCTAGGCAGACAGTGCCCCTTCCTCTGTGAGCCTCCAGCCTTTTAATCTCCTCCTTATCCTGCCTGGCCAGCGGGTGCTTTACAGGTGCCATTGCTAAAACTTACACCAACCTGGCCTTAATTATTTGAGGGTTGTTGCTGCTTTTTTTGAGACAAGACCTTGTTCTGTAGCTCAGGCTGGCCTCCAGGTCGCAGCAATCCTCCGTCTTCAGCCTCCCAAGTGCTGGGATCCTAGGTATGAGCTGTATCACCCTATAAGATGGCAATGCTTCATGGTGATGATCAATAATTAGTAAATAGTTAAGGGCTATAGTAATTTGAATGCCAATGGTCTCCGAAAGCTCGTATGTTTGAATACTTGGACCCAGTTGGTTAACCGTTTGGAAAGAATTGGTAAGTGTGGCCTTGTTGGAGGGAGCGTATCACTGGGGATTTCAAAAACCATTCCCAATGTGACTCTCTGCTTCGTTCTTTTGGATCATGATGTGGGTTCTCAGCTGTTCCTCCCCCCATGCTTTCACTCCACTACTCCAGACCCTAGCGCTCCGAAACCATAAGCTCATTATGTCCTTTATGAGTTGCCTTGGGTTTAGCTGAGTATCTTGGCATGTGCCAATTGTCTTAAAAGCTTGTCCTCCGGTGACAGAAGAGCTTAGAAGTTCTAGCTTTGGGGGCTGAGGTGAGAACTTAGTGCTAGAATAAACTGGGCAACACAGCAAGAGAGTCTCAGAAGCAAGAGAAATAGTTAGGTGACATCTGGTGGTTTATTTTGGAACAAACGAGAACTTTCTTTCTTCGATTTGTAACGCACCTTCGTTCTGCCACCTCCAAATGCTATTGCCTAGAAATACTTTAATAAGAAGCTCAATAGTTAGGAGCACCGGCTGCTCTTCCAGAGGACCTGGATTTGATTCCCCACCCCACTATGTGGCTCACAACTCTAGTCTCAGGGAACCTGGAATCCACTGCCCTCTTCTGGCCTCTTTGGGTCTAAGCATCATGTGGTGGTGACCATAAAAGCAAACACTCATATACATAAAATAATAAAAAAAATAGGTTTTGAAAGAAATAGCTTAATCGGAGGCTGGGAAGATTGCTCTGTGGTTACGAGTGCTTCCTGCCTTCCAGAGGTCACAGTGTGTGTCCCAGCACCCGTGTTAGATGGCTCACACTCGCCTATCGCTCCAGATCCAGGGTGATCCCTATCCTGGACTTTATTTATGCTGTATAGACTGTACACATATGGCACATACACACACATGCACACATGCACACACATGTACACACACATACCCACACATATTTGCATACACAAGCACAGATCGATGAGGTACTGTTTGTCACCTTCAGGTCCATAGAGCAGGCTAAAATGGTGTGTCCCGCAAGCTCAGGAGAGCTCAGTGCCTCTTCTACACTGTGTTCCTCAGTGTGAGCAGCTGTCCATCTGGGAATAAGGAGACCGGCGTGAGTATATTGACACTCATCGCTGAGTTCTATCCACTGCAGCACCCCTAGGCAGGACAGGCTGACTTGTCAGCCTACAGCAGGTGAGGCAGGGAGGAAAGGCATGCACAGGCCAGGGGATGTGTGTGCTGGAGAAGAGGAAGTGGCTAGAATGCCGTGGGAAGGTTAAAGAAGCCGTGGTGCTGAGGACATGCTCACAAGACAGGAGAGGAACCTCGAGACTGTTAAGTCTGTGGAGCTGTGGCTCGGGGATCGCTCTCTGGCATATGAGTTGATGGCCAGATGGTGAGATGAAACAGGCGAATGAGAAGGGAGTGGTGGGCACAGGATGCCCTCGGGCCCCAGCTGGAGGTGGAGTTGTATCAGAAACGGACATTGATGGGGCTGTTTGACCGGAACAGTGGGAAACTCTCGACCAGATTCCAGACAGGAGCACGAAGAAGAGCTTGAATGTGCTGGGGATATATCAGATGGCAGAATGTTTGACTAGCCTGTGTGAAGCCCTGAGTTCCACTCCCAGCACCTCATAAACCAGACACAGTGGAATATACCAGACTTGGGTGGTGGAGGCAGGAGGATGAGAAATTCAAGGTTTTTTTTTTTTTTTTAACCTCTATAGCTATTGAAAGTCCAGCTCAGGATGTGTGGAACCTGTCTCAACAACAAAACAAACAAAAACAAAGCCAGGGGGCTGAAGAAATGGCTCAGTGCCTCAGAGCACACACTGCTCTTGCAGAGGACACAAGTTCGAATCCCAGCACCCATAATGATGGGCAACTCGTGACTGCCTATAACTCCAGCTACAAGGAGATCTGAGTTCTCTGGCCTCTGTGGGCACACATACACAATAAAAAGAAAGGTTGAAAACAAAAGTTTAGCAGAAATGAATAAAGGGCATAGAGATGGTGGGTTGGGATGGACGGGAGCCGGTCTGGGAGGAGAGAGGTAGAGGAAGGATTGTGATCAAATTATGTGTGAAATTCCCAAGGAATTCATACAAATAAAAGTCAAAAACCGAGAGCTGAGGTGGAGCAGAGTCAGGGTGAGGAGCTGAGGCCCAGGGGATGATAAGTAGCCCCTGACTTAGCTGCTGGGTCAATGGGAAAGGGCCAATGGCTGAGAGCCCATGGGGACCTGCTAGCTCTCTGTGAATCTCTTGGCTTCTACAGGGGAAGGAGAGCAGACAGGGAGGTCAGAAGGAAGGAGGGAAGGAACGAACCTCGGCTTCCTCAACTGTGAACAGCTGGAGAGCGACTGGAACTTTTAGTTCCTACCTCTCTGGACAAAACAGGTTCCTGAGAACTTCCAAGAACTGTGATAGCGAGCCTGGGCCCCAGTGCCGCACAGTGGGTACCAGATGCTTTCTATGAACGATGGAAAGTGGGGGGGGGGGGGACACGACACGACACCTGACTTGTGTGTGGCTGGATTCCAAGGCTACAGACTGTCATTTCACTAGGGATAAATAACATCCATCCATCCCCAAGTCTGCCACCCCACAGTCCCCAGCAGTCCCCAGGTCTGCCACCCCACAGCCCCCAGCAGTCCCTAGCAACCCCAGGTCTGCCCCAGGCTCAAGTCCCCTAGATTTAAAATGCAGCCTCTCTTGCGGTCAGCTGCTTCCCAGCCTGGAGCTTTGAGCTTGCTTGTCACAGCATCTAAAGATAGGGCACCTACCACACAGGAAACCAGATGCTATTGGCTAACTTCGAAAATAAAGATGCCCTCATAGAAAGGGAACCACTTGCCTCTGGCGGAGTCTGCGTGGGACTGGGTGAGTGGCTGTCACTTCCTGCAGAAGTTCCCTTCGCATCTGCTCAGGTAAGTACTGAGGAATCCTCCCATACCTGGGCGTGGGATGAATCAGGCGCAGCCACGGGGTTTCCGACGCTGTTTGCCCTTCTGTGTCTATTTTCCTGAGAATGTTGCAGATAAAACAGGAGAGTGAAGGACTTTTTGTGTGCTCGAAACTTGAGGCATTAGTAATTACATTTTAGGGATGTGGAGAAAGGTTTACGTTAGACGTTACCAAAAAAGGGGCTTCATATAAAATCACATCTCAGTAATTGTAAATATTGATATTCTTCAAGATCACAATTCGAAATCACAATTTTTAGTTCATGTCTCTAACTCCAGCACTTGGGAAGCTGAAGCAGGAGGACTGCTACAAGTGTGAGACCAGCCTAGGCTATGTAACAAGTTCTAGGCCAGTTTGGGCTTCTGTGTGAGACTATCTTAAACAAACAATACCAACCATAAACACTAGTGTTGGTGGTTTCCATTTTTTTTTAAAAGAAGCATTAAGCTTCAGAAACCCATACTTGGATGTCTATAGCAACCGAATAATCTAATTCAGCCATGAATTAGAACATAGATGGAATATTAACTGGGAATTGATAATTCCTGGAACTGGGTGGCAGGTGCCCAGTGTTTCCTTTGATTTTTTTTTTCCTGGTTTTTAAAGACAGGGTATTCCTGTGTAACTGTGGCTATCCTGGAACTCATTCTGTAGACCAGGCTTGTCTTGAACTCACAGGGATCAGCCTGCCTCTGCCTCCTGAGTGCTATGATTAAAGGCATGTGGCCCCCATTGCCTGTCTCCCCTGATTTTATATAGGCTTGAGAATCTAACGAGAAGAACGTTATATAGACAGAGTTGCTTGCCTGGCGTGCAAGGAGCCCTGGGCCCCAAGCGCAATTCTCAGTATCTAATAAAATGAGATTTGGTGGGACACGACTGTGATCACAGCACCCTGGAGATAAAGGCAGGAAGATCCGAAGCGCAAGATTTCTCTCAGTACGTAGGAATTTTGAGGCCAGCCTGGACTTTATGGGATTCTGTCTCTAATAATAGTGATGATGATGATATGGTGGTGGTGGTGATAAATGTTCAAGATGATGTTAGCATTTTTACTATAAATATAAATTTATGTAGCAAAAAACCTAAAAGAGTGTTATGCTGAATCTGCAAAGTTAGATAGTTTTAATGATTGTTTTCCTCCTTTTTAAATGCTTTTTTGGTACCATTGTCAATTGTCATAATGAACATATATTATATTTATAATAAACTTGGCACAAACTCATTCTTCAGTTTCATAAATGCTCAGAACCATGGCTCAGACACTTGGACGCAGACATCTGAGATAGGAATCGTGGTCTTTGGGAGGAAATGATAACAGCTGGAGGAGGACACCCCTGCTTGACCAGACAAACCCCTTTTCAGAGGACCCTGCAGCCTCGCTCTGTGCGTTTATAACTGAGTGCAGAGAAAAGCTGGGAATTGAGGATTCTCCTGCCTTCTCTGTCTTTACATCCCCTGAACCCCCCCGCCCCCGCGCTCTGTCCTTCCAAGTTCCCCCCCATTTTTTTTTTGGTCCCAACTTCTTGAAATACAATACTTGAGGTAGGAAGATATTCAGTCAAATGTGAAGATGCTCAGACCCAGGTCATAAGAGGGACCCAGAGCCTACTGAGAGGAAACAAGCTCAGAGTGAGGCCTGGCCTGCTCAGCCTTAGGCACCTATGACATCAGCAGGGTAGGGGCAGTGGCTGAACTGGGTGGGGTGGGGGTCTCCTGGACAATAGAAATGGCCCCAGGAAGGTGTTCAGTAGCTTTTCACAGAGAGATGTGAACCAAGTTATCCACCAAAGCTATGACTCCTGGGGCAAGCAGGAATGACCCTACACCCAAGTCTTGTCTGGAGAACCAGTAAGTCTTTGGGGGTCACTTATAGGAACATGCCCTAGAGTTAGTCATAGCTCATCCCAGTGGGGTGCCTACTCATGAGAGCTGTGTCCCTGGAGCTCCTTAGAGCCCTCCTGAGAGGGAATCTTGCAAGTTAACTGAATCCTGTGAGCCTCCCTCCTCTTTCCTGGAGAGAATATTTCCTAGATACCCAACTGGAGGCCATGGTGGCTTCTCTTACCCTCTGTCCTATGCTTGCCTTTGTTTTTATCAAAGGATTCTAAAGAAGAAAGTAGTCCCAGACCAAATTTAGTCTGGCTAGCCTGGGCCTTTCACACAACCCTGTTTTCTGGGAAGAAGAACCTACCCAATGCTAATCTCTTTGAAATCTATCCTCCGTCTTTTCCTTTAGCTGACCCCATTGCACAGAGAGGGCTGGAGGGTGCAGGAGATGCTGTTCAACTTAGCCCTGACTCCTCTTGCCAACACTTCTGTCGAAGTGAGTGAGCTTCCTGCTTTTTCAGTGGCAGTAGGCTACAGAGTGCACTGTGTTAGAGCATGGTATGTGAAGTCCCAAGCAGATTGGATGTCTTTGGTGCTTGAGACAATATGGACCAGCAAAGTGGATCAAGGTGCCTGCTGCCAAGCTTGACCACCTGAGTTTGATCCCTGGGACATGCGCAGTGGAAGGAGAGAACTGACTCCCTCAAGATGTACTCTGACCACATACTGTGCATGTGCAAATGTGTGCACACATATACACATATATAAATAAATGATCAAGATGTACTCTGACCACGCATCATGGCTAGCCCAAATGTGTGTGTACATACATATCAATAAACGTCATTTTAAAAACAATGCATATCTACTACTTCAGGGAAAGTAAAGCTCTGTGACTTTAGAGATTTAAAATGACTGCCTACTACTAAGGACCGAAGGTCATAGGAACAGGAGCACAGAAGGGATGCCAGGGCTGATCCAGTTCAAAACCAACTCTAGTCCCTAATCCTCCCAAGCCAGCTGTGCAGGGGTGGCCATGTCAGGCGTGGCCCGGGAACTGGATGAGCTGTAGGGAGGAGAACTCAGGCTGTTACAGAGCATGCGTGGGAGGGGTAGATGGGGGAATGGGAAAGGGGAGAAGGAGCCCAGGCCCTCGCTGACTTTGATGAGTGCCAGTGCCCAGGAGCTTTCAGAAGCTGGGACCTTATGTGACTCAGATCATTGCCTGCCAAGGAAAACCAAAGGTAGGCTGAGGCTTGTGACCAAATCTACAAATCTGCGGTCTGCCTTTCCTCCTGGGGCCTCAGAATATGCAAACCACCCTGGGGGTGGGATCTCCCTGAACTCTGAATGGAAAGCACTTTAACCAATTCGTTTGGTCAAATTGTTTTGAATTACAAGTCTTAATAGAAAAAAAAAACAAATCTGTATTACTTTTCCTTAAATGTCTTTCTGGATCATTGTTGTTAAGCTAAACCTACTGATTTTGTGGCACAGTACACTGATAGATCTGAAAGACCATCACCCCAGTTAACTAGGCATTAAAACTGAGGTGTGGGCTGATGGCTCAGACATGTTGGAGAGAGGCAGAGGCAGGAGGATGTCTATGAGTTCAAGGATATCTTGGTCTATATTGGAGCTCCAAGACAACAGCCTGGATGACATAAAGAGACCCCTGTCTCAACAACAGAACAACAACAAAAAAATAAACTTTTTTTATACAAAACCTTGCAAACAAGTTTTTAAAATCTCACATCAGAATTAATCAGATCCCATGTCTATGAACCATAATGAACTTATAGTTTGAATTAGCATTTGCATTTCCTCCCAGCTCTCTGTGGTGGGGGTGGGGGGGTCCGCAGCTTCTCTGTCCCCCTCTTATGCTGCTCAGCCAGCTTGGCTCTCTGTAAACCAGGCTGCCCCAAAATCTCCCAAACAAGTAGGCTTCTCCCATCATCCCTCCATCCTCTCTTGTTTGCTGTTTTGGGTACATCCCTTATATCCTCTCTACTCCACACCAGGAAACCCCAGGCTCAGCCCCCTAAGCCCACCCCACCTCATTCTCGGCCACCTCCCTCTGTCTGCAAGCTTTTTCTCACCTTTAAAAGTGACTTTTAAAACCATTTATTTATTTTCATATGCATTGACGTTTTGTCTGCATGTACGTCTGTATGAGGGTGTCAGATCCCCTTCCATGTGGGTGCTGGGAATTGAACCCAGGTCCTCTGGAAGTGCTAGCAGCCAGTGCTCTTAATTGCTGAGCCAACTCTCCAACCCTAAAAGTGACTTTTTATTCCCTTCTTTCAGTCCCAAAGGAGACAGATGCAGAGGACCAGGCCTGAGGCGTCATTTAACCTCCCTCTATATTCTGTAATGAATCTTCATAGCGCTGTTTCTGTGTTTCTTTCTCAGCAGATTCTAGTACAGTCGTCATCTAGTACTCTAGGAGTAGAATGAAAATCAAAAGCTTCTTGCAGCACAGAATCTTCCCCCACAAAGGTCAAAGAGAAAGGAAGCCCTCCCATTACTGGCTCACTAAACCAGTGTGTGCTATCCTAGACAATCTACTAGGAAACTTCAAGATGGGAATCCTTCCTCCCTGCCCATGGCCCAGCAGACACACCCAAATGCATCACTGTACTTAAGGTGATTGACAACTGCTCATGAAGCAAAAGGACCTGACAGCGAGCGTATACATACAAAGATGCATGTGTGTGTACATGAGTGCATGAGTGCATGCCTGCATGTACATGTGTGTGTGCATATGTGTGTGTGTGTGTGTGTGTGTGTGTGTAAAGCCAACATCCAATGCCCTTCTCAGTCATTTCCATCTTGTCTCTTCTTTTCACCTAGAACTCACCCATTTGGTTAGGCTGACTGGCCAGAGAGCTCCAAGGATTCCTCTGTCTCCATTTCCCCAGTGCTGGGGTTTTACACCCATCATGCTTAGCATCTTATTTTTGGTTGTAAGCCTAGCCTTTACTAACTGAGCCATCTCTCCAGCCCCTTGTTTACTTCTTAATAAGGGTTCAGAGGCTATACCTCTCATCTTGGAGCTTGCAAATAAGTACTTTACGACTGAACCATTCCCCGAGTCCCTCAACAGCGTCCTGCGTAACCTGTACTCACTAGC